AGTTCCACGTTCTGTTGTTTTGCATGTAGATAAGTGGGTCCTCATCGGGCTTACCGAAGATCACTACATCAGTTACTTGCGAAACAAGAATCATTGGTTCACAACCTAGATGGAATTGAACAACCCATCGGAACGGTTGTAGTGTCAACCGTACGGTTTGTCTTGACCGATTAGTTGCACTAGTACATTTATGTATTGAACAGGATCTCAGAGAGGGATGTTCGTTTTATACTGATCGTCATAAACGAACTAGGCCTCAGTTAATTATTGCGTGCTCTTAACCCGTAAGATATTAAATAGGCATGTGCACATAATTGTTGTTGCTTTGATTCTTTAGGTGAGATCCAAGCTGGGTCGACATACTTAATGAATTGTGTAACGACATTATGTGTTCGATGTGCTATTAGGATAATTACGGTCACCATGTGCGTTAGTGTGATGATGTCCCCGAAGTGAGTTCATGAAGGAATATTATGCTAAACCCTGCAGGTGGATTTATTCCGGCATAATATGAATGCTATGAGCGAGCGCTAGCTTCGGTAATATAATATATTAATTAATTCTTAATTATTAGTGATCGAATTAAATTAATGGATATTATATCTTAAACATGGGGAGGTAAATCGGATAATTATAAAAAGGAGTCTCAAATGTAATTTGGGATAGGTGAGGGGAGTGCAATAATATTATTGTGGTGGACTTTAATATTATTAATATATTAATTGTGGGGTTGCTCCATAGTATTAATATATTAGAAGCCCTTATCCTATTCTCCTTAGGGTCCCTACTGTAGCTCTATATATACAGCATTAGGCTCATGGAAGAAGAGAAGAATTCCACAATTTGGAAAAATCGTCCGCCCCCCCTCTCTCTCTCTTCCAAGGAGTAGTTCTATTTCTTGTGCTCCACTGATACAAGATCTAGATAGCTGTTTGAGAATACAGTAGAAGATCTTAAGGTATATACGGGATTCCAATCAGATCTATCATACATCCAAACCGGAGACCAAAACCAGCAAGTGACCATACCACGACGACCAGGACGACGAGACAAAGAGATCGCCGCCAGCCGCTGCCGCACGCGCCGCCACGCGCCACCGGAAGGGAGCAGCCGCTGGAACTCAATCGCGCGCGTGAGAGCGCGTGGAAGCTTCGTTTTCCGACCGGTCAACGCCGTTGACTTCGCCGTGACGTCAGCTTTCTGGATTGGTCAAGTTTGTTCGATTCTGAGAAGATTTGATTTGCGGTCAACTGTTCGGGCCAGCCAGATCTACATAAATTTTAAGCAGTAAGTTTTCTACATCAAACCTTTAGATCCGCTGCGCATAGGTTTATGTTGAATGTTTGTCCGTGATTTGTGCATATCGAGATCCTCATATGTCCCAACAGTATTGAAAAGTTGTAAAAATTGATGTAAATGAGAATATTCCAAGAATATTCTTTTGGGTTTGAGAATAAGTTTTTCGGTTGCAGATGAATTACTGCAAAATGTGACAGTTACTGCAAAATGAGTTTGATAATGAGTTTTTCGGTTGGAGATGACCTTATATCCATTAGTAAGATTTCATATTTTCTATTATACCTACAAAAGAAAAAAAAATGTCATCTCAGATAGCACGAAAAGCGGTTATATATGTTGTGATAAGTTATATACATATAACTTGTTTTAATAAAACCCATTGAATACAATATTTAGTTGGAATGAGTTTTCCATTGAAATTTTTACTGAATTTTGACGATTTCAACGGTAAATTTTCCAACAGGGGTGAAAATAAAAATTTCAACAGAAATTGCATATTCCAACGGTAAATAACCGTTAGAAATATAGCTGTTGAAATCATCAATTCATCTAAAATTCAAATAAAAAAACATTCCAACGGAATATTTCTGTTAGAACCGTTTCAACGGAAGCTAAACTATTAAACTATCTGTTGGAATTTCTATTGGAATATATTATCATGACATTTTCTATTAGAATATAACATTTTTTTTTGTGAAAATATAATAATTTTCTAATGGTACTTAAAGCACATAATGAAAATCTTTAATGGATCCAAAGTGGTAATTCTTTATTGTCAAAAAATAAAAAGTGGAATTCTCCCTATATATAATTCCTGAATGCGCTGAGCCTACATGGCTGTTTCTGGTGCTTCGAAATCCTACTTGGCGAAGAATCATGCTTCGTAATTAGGTTTGGACAAACAATATTGATATATTAATAATTTATAATCCAGGTTTGGACATTCCATATATATTATTTATCTAAGTATTTTAATATCACTTGTACTAATATAACCATTTAATTCCTTGGATATAAAAGATTTTGGATTTGTTTGGATTTTTTGGTTTGGTTTGGTTAATTTTGAAAAAGGTTGTATGGTTAGTTGTTAGTGGGTATATTAAAATAATATTTAAAATATAATAATTAAAGTTGATTTGATATAAAAGTATGAGAGATATAATTTGAAGTGATGGTTAGTTAAATTATGTGAGTGGATGAATAGTGAATTAAGGTTGATTTGATGTGTATAAATGATTGGTTGATATTATTTAATTATAGTAAAATATTGATGATAGTGGGGTTGAATTAAAGTTGAGTTAAAAAAGTGGTTGAGTTAAAAATGACTGAATTTTTTTGAGATAATTTTGTATCCAAGCATACTCTAAGTGACTAACAGTGTTCTAAAAGTCGCTAGGCGCCCGCTAGGCGCTCGACCAGCGCCTAACGCCTAGGCGGGGCCTAGGCGGGGCCTCGTCGGGGCCTAGAAATCAATATTAAATACCTTATTTTTATTTATTTAACTACTAACAAAATAAAAGTATCTCAACTTATAATAAATCGCTACACCTAAGTCCAAATAATAATATTAATATATTTTAAAGAAAACATGAGAACAAAATAATGTAATTAGTATTAAAAAAAAAAAACTGAAAAATTGCCGCCGAGCCCGCCTAGGAGCGCCTAGGTCCGCCTACGCCTGCCTTGGCGCCGCATAACCGCCTGGCTGCTGAGCCCGCCTAGGCCGCCTAAGAGCGCCTAGGGTCGCCTAGGCCCGCCTAGGCGCCACCTAGCCGCCTGGCCGATTTTTTTGACCGAATTGTGCAAATCGGAGGCGCCCAGGCACCGCCTAGCGCCTAGGCGCCGCCTAGGCGGCCGCCTAGGCCGACTTTTAGAACAGTGGTGACTAATATATCACTGACTTTTAATTTGTTTCCTTCAATTAGTCATTGAATTGTAAATGTATTTTAAAAGATGATAAATTTTGTATTTGTTATCGGTTTTACATATATAATATATCAAATTAATCATCTTTATGATCTTCGATTTGACATCTATATTGTATATATTGAAATAAATAAACTATATTTATATTTATAATAATAAAAAATAATTATATTTATTAAAAGTCATTAGAAAAATAAAATTATTTCTCAATTGATATATTTATGTTTAATGTTGTTATATGTTGTAAGTTAGAAAAATTATTATAATATAACACAGGTAAGTCGCACAAATAAAAAGTGGCATACTAAATATATAATAATATATATTTTTATAAAAGATATTTAAATTTTTAACTATTATTTCTCAATTGATCACCAGACAGCCTTTCTTGAGGGCATAATGCTTACTGATAATGTGATTATAGCCCAAGAGGCTTTCCACTTCCTTAATAGACACTCTTCTGGCTCTAATTTCTTTATGGCGCTCAAACTGGACCTAATAAAAGCCTTTGACCGAGTGGAATGGCTCTGCATTAAGAAAATCATGCTGCAAATGGGTTTCTACAGTGACTTTGTTAAAATGATCATGCTCTGTGTTTCATCACCTTCATTTTCCTTTAAAATCAATGGTCAGATTAGTGGATATGTCTCTCCTTCTAGGGGTATAAGGCAGGGGGACCCTCTCTCCCCCTACCTTTTTCTCATTGTGGTTGTGTTATCATCCGGATCGGTAAACCTGTATTAAGAGATTCCAAACGACACATTAAAAGGAAGATGATCATTGAACCGATGTAATTTCAAACACCACCCCGGTTCAGGCGACAAACCGGATCGAACTACCGAAGACCGAAGCGGTCAACATCTACCGAGGTCAACATGAACCGAGATCGTCACCTCCTTAAGCAGGTGACAAGGTGCCTACGAACAACCCTCCTGCTCCACAAGATCCGTCATCATTTATGTGGGACCCCTTGCTTCAAACCGCCCACAAAAAGTCACTTTATTCGAAAAAGTAATGCACAGATCCCAATGTATCAACCTGAAAATACTATAAATAGCGGACCCATGACATTTGTACGGGGATCTCTCTCCGAACTGAAAAAACTTTACTAAGCAACACGTAAAAGCCCATCACGGCTCTTCACCTCGGTTCACCTCGGACCGAGGCCATTGTTGATTTAATCTTACATGCTTTACGTCCAAATCATTCAAAATTATCCACTTAATCACAAGTTACATCGTTGTTAAAACTCACATAACAACAGAAATAATTTGTTCAAAATGAGTTATTTTGGTTAACCATAGTTAATTTGTAAAAGGTGGTATGGTTAGTTGTTAGTGGAATTTTAAAAATGTATTAAAATAATATTTAAAATAAAATGATTAAAATTGATTTGATGTAAAAGTAAGAGATAAATGATTGGAAATGATAGGTAGTTAAAGTTATGTGAGTGGATGAATAGTGAATTAAAGTTGATGTGATGTGTAAGAATGATTGGTTTGTATTATTTAATTATATGAATAATATTAAAGATAGTGGGATTGAGTTAAAGTTGAGTTAAATTTTGAATTGAAATAAAAGTGAGTAAATTAACTCATAAACAATCAAGCCCTAAGGCTCTCACTCGCGGATACGTCTAGTTTTCTAAAGCTTTGTTCCACTAATTTTTTGGTAGTCAGCCACGGTATTCGGAATTATGCCCTGACTAATCTGTTGGCCGACCCGAGTCGCACACCTGACAGTGGTGGTGGGTGAGTCTCCCAACAAAAGTTTTTATTGTCAAGTAAGTACTTGCGGTTAATTTTTAAGGATTTGGGTTAGAGCATGTCCATTGTGTTCTAGAGAGATTAAACACACATACATATATTTGTGAGAAAAAATATTTTTATACCGATTTTTCGGTTTTATTTTTCAGAAGTGGAAAATTAGAAGGATTTTTTAGTGTTTTTTTTGGGGTGTCTATATGTACACCCCCTCAAGTGTAAAAAAGGGGTGTATATATAGCACTTTTCTTTGTGTAATTTATTAAAAGGGGGTGTACATATAGCATTGCCCTTTTTTTTTTTCAAAAATAT